AAAAAAAAAAAAAAAAAAATAAGAAAAAAAATTATTATATATTTTACAGCTGACTGCCATCACCAATAATTATATCTGCTTTGATCATAAGATTAGTATCGACAAAACAGTCATGATGACAGTAATTACAGTAATAATACTAATATGATAGTACTAATAGTATTGTAAGTAACAGTGATAGAGTAATACCAAAGATGAGCTTGACACAGTTACAAAACATAGTATTCAGCTACTGAAAACCTGAAGTAAAGTATATAAATTTACCAGCTGTAAAAAAAAAAAGACTAAAAAATTTTATTGCATTTTATATAACTATTATTTCCTTTTTTTTTTTTTTAATATTCTCTATATTTTTTGACAGAAAAACAAACACCACTAATGATAGGAACCAAAACACAGAATGATCAATAATATTTTTTATTATTAAAATAAAAAAAGAAACAATGATGAATATTTGTATGTGCCTTATCAACAGAAATTATTCAATAATTAATAAAGTAAATAACAATTTGTTACTATGCATTTTCTTCTCTTCAATTAAGCTTTCACTTGTTGTATGAAAAATAAGAAAGAATAATAGAACTAAAAAGGGAAAAAAAGAGACAGAAAAATTGAAAACTGAAAAAAAAAAAACAAGACTATATAAATCATTATGCTTTAAACTATAGAAATAGATAAAGTATTGCTATAGAATAAAGAAAAAAAAAGCTGGAAAAAAGTTCTATTTTTAATAGATTTTTCAAAGAGTGATACTGTTGTTGTTGTTGTTGTTGTTGTGATTGGAAATTTTTTTTGTCTGAATCAAACAATGATGACAGATTTCATTACTGAAACAAAGAATATTATCGTCTAAGAATCTGTTAAGGGAATAGTGATAACCAATATGAAAATTGGAACTATACATCAGTCTTACCGCAGATATTTGCGGATGGCAACAACGATAGATGACAAGTTTAGTTTTGCTGTGTGCTTTTGCTATATGCTATGCTAATCGTTTTTTAGCTTATAATATCAGCAACAGCAGCAACAGCAGCAGCAGCAGTAGCAGTAGCAGTAGCAGTAGCAGTAGCAGTAGCAGTAGCGGCAACAGCAGCAGCACTATCAATTTTTAGACTAGAAAGAAATATTTCTGTTTATATGGAATAATATCTACAGATTTTATATGAACATTCCTATTTTATATCTTAATTTTTATTTATTTACTTATTTATTTA